GAAAGTTTCGCGAAAGAAAACGCTATAGGAATACACTGCTTCGCGAAAGCTTGCCAAATCCCAGAGAAGGGATGCTGAACAACCGCCAGTGTTTGGAAAAAGCTCACCTGCAGCACCAGCTGCCATTCCAGGAGGAGCAGGGTGAGCAAGCATGACAGGTTGATCAGCTGGTTGGGTCTCACTAATTCGGTCTGGGCAGAGCGTGGGCGCGGCATTGGACGCAGGATGAGCAAGGGAGTTGGCCAACGTCGAAGCTTATAGTACATCTCCTCTTAGGAGAGACCACAAAGCATGCGACGTACACCACGTTATGTGCTACAGTGCGGTGAGAGGCTAGATGGACAGAGCTCGGATTCGTGTGCGCTGCTGTAGCCGGCGAGTTGTGCAGGCAAAGGAATTGCAGTACAAGGATCTCTGAGAGACGCCAGGGGGATCCGCAGCGCCAGGAAGGGAAGGGCAACCCAAACAAATGCTGTAAGCAGCAGCATGCTTGCGCCGAGTTTTGCAAATTGACCGCACGCTCCTCAGACATGACAATTCACAGCATTTGCCGCTACGAACGCTGCAAAGAATGTTATATTGATAGCATTTGCAGTGCCAACATCTTGAAATGCCTTTTTAAGGATGTCAAACGTTGAAATTCACAGCATGTTTGAGTCTTGATCCACAGCTGCAGATGCCTGTGTAGTTGGCAGCTGCCAGCACCTCAAGATGCACTGAGCAGCAGCATTTTTGAGTGCAGGCCACCCTGGACCAATCAAACTAAGAGCATGTTGTTGAAGAAATTGCAAGCAATCTAACGCCCAAAGAAAAACACCCTGCCTCCAACCAAGCCACCGAAGACAGGCTCTTTGTGAGTTGTCAGAACGCAGCCCACGGAAGCCTACCTTACCTGATCTCGATCGCGCAGGGCAGAAGCGGGACTGCCAAATAGGGCTTGACAGCCGCAGCTTTAGCAAATCATGTAAATCGATAGACAATGGAAAGATGTCAGCTGTGATGACACCAGCAGGGATGATGACGTTGAGGATAACAACCGCGGCGCACCGCGGCACCATTCAATGGTGACATGCGACGAATGAATCTGCGCAATGAATTGACATGGAACTTCAGAGAGGCCAGTGCAATGGAAATGTGAGAACACGTCTCTGCTGTCTATGCATAAGCACGATGTAGGAAACTTGCAAGGAGGCTGCCTCAGCAGCTGACATTTCTCAAGAGACAGCGTCGTCCCCGCCTCCCACTAAAAAACTGTGGGCTTGAAGCTGTCACAATTGAAAGCAGCCGTACTTGTAGCCTCATAGTGACTGAGGCATGGCGAGACATGCGCGCGGCTGCCGTTTCCATCTCTTGCGGAACTACGAGCTCAGGCCTAGGGCGCCCGAAAAACATTGAAATAAGCTCGAGATTTCAGCTGCGTGGAAGGTTGACAGGCAGCTTCAAGCCAACACCGGCCGAACTCGTTGGCAGGCGCTTGCGGGGTTTGCGAGGTTCAGCGTCATGTCTACTTCCTCCCCTTCAAGCCGGGGACCACCGATTGTCATAGTACTCGTACAAATTTGGTGTGCCGAAGCCTGGCCCGATCCTGTGTTAGGTGGAGTGGTCAGGTTTGGATAGGGAGTTAAGTTAGGATCGGGAGTCAGATTGAAGATTCCTTGGCAGGTGTTGGAAGAAAATGCCAAGCTCTCCTGGGATCTCAGGCATGATAACATATGAGGCGTGACTTCGGATCAATGTTTTCACCCACGCAGGATCGCGCGATCGGAGCTTGAAGTTGGTGAGACGCGCAAGGGCTGGCAGGAGGAGGTGAGGGTCGCCTGTTTGGTACAGAGTCGATCCTTGCTTTATGAGCTCGTTGACCTCCTTATAGCACACTCATGCATCACTACGCATGTGGATGCCATTTTTTGACCGTCTTTCAAGAGATGCTTTGGGATGCGATTACGAATTTCGAGGGGTCAAGAATGGGGCGCACGCAAGCTCGTACAAGGGCGACGCAAGCTCTTGCACAAGGGTCAGGTTATCTTCTTGTCCTTTTGAGCTGAGTTTTTGTTAAAATCTGTGCTAACGCCAGCTGGCGCTGGAACCGGGCAAGGGGGAAGCGCACAAGCATCCCTACTAGCAAGCGCAACATACCAGCGAAGAGAACCCATGTGAGGTCGAGTTCTGGAAGCGGGAGGTCATGAAGCTTGAGGCAGGGCAAGTGTGGCGGTCCACAAGTACAGAAGTGTCACTTGTACTTGTCTTGCAGAAGGCAGAAGTCCAGGAGCAGCGAAGATGGCGAGAAGAGGTGGCCAGATCAAATGAGCAGTTAAAAGAATAGGTGCTCGATCAACGTTAATTAGATCCGGAAATAACGTCGGAAACTGGCTGACGACAAGTTCCGGAAAGTAGTTCCCATTGTGCGCGCGGAAGATCGCGGAAGCACTTCGCTTGTGGAAGCTCTCGCGGAAGCTCCTTTTTCAGTCCGCCGAATCCCGAGCAAAAGCTTACGGAGATGGAAGGTTAGTAACTTCAGAAGAAACTCAGCCGTGATGTGCCTCCCCCCAGAGCCCTAAACCCTAACATGAAGATCCCCTTGTACTTGCAAAGCCCTAACGAATTCTGGGCAGGGCGCTGGAGATGCCGCAGTTGGTAAATCCCAGGCACTTTTTCAATAGAGTTGTTTTCTGTTTTTGTAATAAGGCAGCCACCACGGAGATACCTTCCGGCGATTTGGTCGCTGGAACTACTGAAGTGAGGGGGATTTTGCGGAAGCTCTGCGGAAGCTACGGGATGGGTTTGGGAGTACTTGGCCACTCCTTCTTTGCCGCAGTACCAATTCCCAAGTGACCGCCTCTGGTTTGAACCCAGAATAGCCAGCCCAGCAGACCCTTTGAATAAGTTACCGCGTGACCGCCTTGGGTGTGAGCCCTCTAAGGCAAGCCCCAATCCCACCCTTTTGAATAAGTTCGCGCTCAATGTACGCTCGGGCTTGGGACGGATAACACCGAAGACTAGACATCCCTTTCGCGGAAAGCCGCGGAAGCATATAAGACGAAAACGTCCGCGGAAGAGCCCCGCGGAAGCCCGGCGTCGGAAAACCTGCCAGTAGTCTTCGCGNNCGCGGGCGGAAGCTTCCTTATTTCAATTGAATTTATACACCTATTTTTTTTAGCGGCTCAAATGATGTTTTTTTGCCTCACCGACACTTGAACGGCATATTCCCCCTCTTTAATCATAGGTCCGTGGGAGGGAGGGTCACTGTGGGTCTGTCCCATTTTCTTTTAGGTCCAGGCCTGTTTCTGGAACAGTGTGTGGCGACCAGGAATAGATCTGAGAAGGCATGTTTCTCGACGCCAAACGACACTGAAGCCTTATAAACATGTTCGCACCCTACATCACTTGGTAGCGCTGCGATCTGCTGAGATAGTGGTCCCAACACCCCTAACATCAGGAAATGGGTCTAGATCCTTTTTGTGGAGGTGGTCCCCCACCCCCCCATCCTTCACACCCTTTAAAGAGGGGGATGACAGGCTCGTGATGGCGTAGAGTGCTGTGAAAGGAGAGTATAGGAACTTGTTCATGCAGCTTATCGGCTAGAACACAGCGGTTCATCGGGCTCGCTGCCAATGTATTGCCTCATATTGCCTCCTAGCCAGTTGTCTCGTGGGCCCTGGCAAAATGTCTGAGAACGTGCAAGGCGAAGGAGGCGAGCGCTCAAAAGGCACAGCCTGGCGGAGAGCCTTCCACGTTGCGCCAAAGCATCCATGATGTTCTTGGAGGCGAGCCTTCCGAAGAACGACGTACGCAGCGAGGCACGGACGCACTGCACGACACTGTAGAGAACAGGTGCAGAGATGAAGCTCGCAAGCTTAGGAAGCTTGCTTCAGCGTTCTTCAGCTTGAGGTCATCGCTCTTTCCAAGGCAGAGCGCGAGCTAGCGGAGCTCGCAAAAGAGCAGGCTCTTTGTTTGTGCATGGTGCATGCTACGTAGCTAGTTGTAGCTTTTCATTTCTTTCAACTGTGTCAAAAAAGGCAAGTTGGCAAGCGCTCAGGGGTTTTGACACGGCTTTCATCATTTTTCCATCTTTTTTCCGTCGAGACTCCTGGACCTCTCGAGGCTCGCTGCGAAGCAGCTGCGAGGGAGGCGAGGTGGATTCAGCAAACCAGCCTGGCACTGAAAGCGATCCAGCTGAGATTTGAGCGGCTTTGATCAGGCTGAAGGGCGAAATGCAACACTTCGGCGGAGCTTGAAGCAAGGCGGACTGGAACGAGGCAGTACCAGCTTCAAGCTTGAGCACATTGTCAGCTTTGGCGACTTGAGAGGTGGTGCGGCACGACTTTTTGTCAATGCGCTTCCCGCACTTGACATGCAAACCGTCGAGGTCTGCTGGAAAATATGATGTATGTGATCGTGTTGCCAGCACGCCTGTTGTCGCCAGGTTGCCCGAACAGCTCTCAACGCTCACATGCAGAAGATGAAATTGCAGAGCCAAGCTGCAAAGCCTTGACATAGCAAGTCGCTCAAGCACAGCACTGCCATGGTCACGCACAAGGACAAGGTGGACAAGGTTCAGCCCGGTCTGATGAACGCGATTTTCGAGATGGCAACCCTTCCGGAGCACGTGCTCTGCCGCGGCTTGCGGAATCTCAAAAGATGCTGTGCCGAGTTGTGCTTGTGAAGCTTGAGAACGGTTTGGAGCTCACTTTCCGCGCCAAAGAAGCTTGTACGGCTTTCTAGTAGGTCCAGTTATAAGTTATTAGCAGCAAATAGCAGCAACTTCTACATGCTTCTCCGCAGGGGATGACGCATTTGTCTTCAAGCCTTTTTTTATCAATCAAAAGTAGAGAATGGCATACAAGGAGCATCGACAAGTTGTGGTATGTTCGCAGTTCACATGCTGTCATGAAGCAAAATCAAGGTCTAGCTGTTCATTCTAGTGCCAAGTCAGCATGTCCTGGCCGCAACGGCGTGATGAAGGCCAGCCGTAGCGAGCCTTTCAATCGCATGAATGGTGTGACAAATCATCGTGAACATGGCAGGAGCCCGGTGCACCTCAACGCTTTGCGCACATGCTGCTCTGAGTTGCCGAAGATCCTCATGGCCCCAGCGGCAGAAGTTGCACAACCGACAATGCAGGCCCACAGATTGCATCATTCGTAACAAGCTTCAGATGTTTCGGGTGGAACAAGAGCCTTGATTACATGTGGGAAAACAAAAGGGGCGGGCAACCCCCAAATCTATGCCAGTTGTCTTAAATTTTTGCAGACGGACAACATAACCACCATGACTTTGGTGTTCTTCTGCACGGTCTCCCTTCCGCAAACAAGTCCAGGCAAAGTTGTGAAGTGACAGAAGCTACGGACCAGACCATGTCTGCCTAAACCATGTTTGCCGGTGTTTGCCTGAACTGGTCCAGGGTCAAGGGAATCCTAACGTTCGTTTTTATTTTGATGGTCTCATGAGACATCATACGTACCGGGCTTCCTGGCTTCGCGGGCTTTTGCTTTCTAGTTTCGGTTTTTGTTGGCTTCTTTTCCTGCTTCCCTTCCTCGCTTCTCCGGCTCCTTGGATTCTTGGTTTTGCTGGCTCCCCAGCTTTTTTCACGATCTTCCCATGTTCGTTCCTTTGTCTTGTACCGTCAGGACCATGGTAAGATCGTTGCGATTAGGGTTTTAGTTTTGCTTTCTTTGCTCCTAGATGTTAGTATGATATTTTGCAGTACTCCTGTTCCTATCATTGCTACTTCCTTGTTCTTTGTTCGAAGTATTTCAAGCACATGCAGGGACCTATTCGTTCTCGTATGCGTCCATGTTTGGCAAACCGGAGGCATGCACCCCTCCCACCCCCTGTAAAGCATAAAACAAAAGTTGAATGAAGCCCCAGGAACCTACATACATCTTCTCACGTTCTTTCGTTGCAAAGGGGGGAGAGGCATCAAGCAAGTCGATCAGGGATCAGCAACTGATATGGATGAACAATGGTGATCAAAACAACTCGAACATCGTTTCAGCAACCACAAGGCCCAGTATCTGGAGCTCTTCACATGCCGCAGATACTACTCTGAACACAGAAAGCAAACAAGAAAGCAATAATCAAACAGGAGCGCAGCAAAGCACATCTAGAAAGGAAGAAAGAAGAGAAACGCAACAAAGCAAAAGCGGAAAGACAGCAGTGACGAAGAAAGGACGAAACAAAGAAAGACAAACTGCAGATAAAGGAAGAAAGGACAGCAGAAAGCAACAAAGAACGAACATGTGAAAAGTAAAGGTCATCCTTGTTGTCATTGTTGCTCTTAAGCCTACTCGTCTTTTTCTGATGGGGAAAATTTCCCCGCTGCTACTCCCACTATAGAGATTACTGCGACGCTAACTGTATCATTGTTATTTCCTCATGTTGTTACAACCTTGGGGTGTTGCAATTGTCATTATGCGTATTCTTTTGGGCATGTTTATTGCCGTTGTTTCTACTGGATTCTACTGGCAGTCTTCTTATTCGCCCCGTCAGGTACTTCCATTCTTCCTGTTGTTATGACTAGGGTTCATGATTTTGATGTTCGTAGTATTTCGTAGTGGTACTATGAGCTTCATGTAGATGATTGTTCTTGTTGTTCTTGGCATTTTTGCCATACTTCATGTTGTTAAGTTACCACTACTGTGAGTATTGCTTTAGCCCTGAATATGATCACAGTTGGTGTTTTTTTGAAAGATTTGTCTCGTCCCTATAGTGTTCTCATTTTTGTTCCTGTTCCCTGTTCTACTAAGTTATTACCTTCCAGTGCCAGATCAAAAACGTAGGAAGAAGGTATATGTCCCTCGAATTGATTCAGGTTTTGCAAATTGGGGGCGCTGCGCTCGTCTCAAGTATTTTTAAACGCGCAGCCGCTAATAACTAGCAAATCTTATCTGAACTCTGCGCAAGACTGCATTTTCTCATTTTCGTCCGCGCGGACCGCCTCCCGCCAAGCCGCCAACCCCCCCCCCCCCACAGCCGCAACCCCGTCCGAAGCATAACGTATCATCACGACATGTTGGCTCCATAGTATCAAAAGTTTGGAGGTTTTCAAATCTTGGCGAGATCCTGGAACGTCATCCTTGCTAAAAGTCATTAAAATCGGTCTCTGGTGTAAAGTGTCTTCAAATTTGGGCCGCAGAATTGCTAGAAACCTGTAGTAGAACAACAAAAACACAGAACGCAATGCTGGGATGGATTCCCCATGCCTGGTCTAGCCTCCACAACAGCGGCCATGCAGTCATGCAGGTGCATTTCATCCTTTGTCTCTTTGCCAAGGCGCGGGCTTTTTCCGGCAGTTTACCATTTGCATGCTTGTATTGACATGTAGAATAGCTTGCCATCAGGTCAGCTAAGTTGTTGGAGTTAGATGCTTCCAACTGTCAGGCAAGAGGAGGCATCAGGACCCTGGCTGCTGCTTAGAAGCATCATCAGTGAGGCAGCAATCTCTGTTCATACTGGCACAGACATCCGAATGTTTGCTGGCACCCTGCAAGCTTCCAACAGTAACTATTAGTCACTTACTTAACGCACATTGTGGGCAAGAGGCAGCCAAGCAACTTAGCAAAGCACCAATCATGTAGATGGTGCATCTTGATGGCTTGCAAAGGCTGTGTTTCATGCATTTGCTCCAAGACGGCAGAAATTGCAGATGCAGACCTCGCTGCAGCAAGACCGAAAACAGCCCATCGTCACAATAAGTCCTCACTGCGCGCCTCTACAATGCGAGCAGCGAAACAACCGGATAACACCCTTGGTTAGAGGTTGCCTTTGCCGGTCCAAGTGCAGCAAAAATTGAAGAAGACCCGCTTGGCTAGGCAGAGCGGCTTAAATTGCTGGAGTCGGCAATGACACAGCGAAGGCCATCTCATCCTGTGAAATTTTCAGGCGTGAGCCATTACCAAGCATTGTATGTACAAGCGATGTTGAGGCAGGGGCTCCTCTTGCCAAATCCTGCAGGCGGGTCTGGGACACTGCCTTCTGGCCACTGCCCCTCAACTGCTGCAGAGGCCCGAGGCGTTTCTTTCGGCGACTAGACGCGACTGGGGGAGTGGATGCCTTGGTGCAGGAGCACTCGAGCTCACTTGGATTTTTGTCCTTGTCATGAGCTGCCATGGCAGCATATGGCAGCCCTGCAGGAGCTGACGCAGCGCTTGGAGAATGCGGTATGGGGCTTGAAGGGGAGGCAACCGACACCGTGTTCGAAATAATGCTGCCACGTGCTGCCCTGAAGCGCCAGATCCTTGGACCCAACATTGGGCCGCGTGTGTTCTTTCATTGAGCCGGGAGGCGGATGTCGCATGGATGTCATCTCATGTCATGTCATGTTCTCGGCACTGGGAAAGCTGCAGGCGTTACAGTACTGTAAAAGGCCCCGCAGGTGCTTCTGCTACGACATGACTCTTATGATCTGCCCCGTGTCAGGTTTTATCCATGAGCATCGTGACCGCTACATTGCTCAATCAGGCAGCCTGTGTGGGCAAAGATTGCAACCAGTTGCTGTATTGCTTGACTTTTCCAAAGCGGCAGGAGATGATGCACATCTGCGGGCAAACATTGTCGTGCAGATAGAGGAGCTCGAGCCCCGGCGCCCTCAGCCTCCTACGCTGAAATGAACTGGATGAGCTACAGCACCGGAAGGGTTCAATACTCCTAAGCTTTGGCCTTGGAAAGGGATCCAGGCTGGACAAAGGTCACGTCCAGTCCGTGGTGACGGAGAAATGGCGCTTGTGACATCCTAGCTTTTTTCCTATTCTCCAGAACAAGGGGGGCTTCTCTTCTGCAGCAGCTCTATGGGGTTGCGGGTGTTAGAGCTTGGGGGTGAAGGGTGTTGAGGCATTGTCATGGCTTCAGCGTTTGAAAAGAGTTCCTGCAATTATTGACGGTTGCCTTTGCAGTGACTGGCTGATAAAGTCTGCCGCATAAGAGGGCATGCATTCATCTAAAGCCTAAAGCAAGGTCCGGACGTCCTATCATTGCTGGGCAGCCTGCTGCTGATCTCTGTAATTGCCTGCTCGCCGATGAGTCCAAGCAATCCCTTTTGTATGAGGCAAGTTCCTGTCCAGAACAGAGACGCATGGGTCTTCTTCGCTTCTCGAGAACTGCATGCGACTGCGCGGCTGGCTAGGTTCATCCTGGGTGTAGGATTTCTGCACATTTCTGCAGCGTGGCAGGAAATGATTTCTGGAAATCGGCCAAGAATTGTTTATGGATTTGGCTGGCTGGGTCCTGAATTTCCGAGCATCTGTGAGCAACTGCTGCTTGCATTGCTTGCCTTATCCTCTGTGCAGGAGCGTGCCTTCCAGCTTCACGCTGCGGACATGAGATCATTGAGCGCCAAAAAGAGTGCGTTGGTCGCGTAGTCTGGAGAACTGTTGTGACTGACGCCCCGATGTCTTCCTGCAAGTCGAGGCTCGAGTTGGCCTGCGCATCAAGAGCGCCCCACTCACAGTCCTGATCTGCCATGGCAAGCACCGGGGTCAGTGGCCCAGTGTTATCTTGCTGTATGAGACTCTCGAAATCACCAAAAGCTTGAGGACGTTGCCATGATGCCCACAGGGCCAGCTTGCTTGCATTGGAATCAATCTCTTGGCTTTCAAGAATTTGATGTTGATGCAGCCAGGCTGAAGGGCAAATTGGCATCACTTGAGGACTTCATCTCGATGCAGAACGAGGTGTGGCACATTTTTCTTCATAAGCCATTGTGGTTTTCGTTGAATGGATGCAGGAGTTGGCGGCGCAAAGGCAAGAGATTGAAAGTCTCCGAAATGACAAGGTGAGACTTTTCGCGTTTGCAACATGATCAGCCTGGAGTGCAGCGGTTGCTCTGGTTCGCAGACTGGGATAGAAGAGCACTACCAGGCCCAGCTTCAGGACCGGACCAGTTGCGAAATCAAACAAGCAGCAAAGATTCTCTAAGCTGTGCTGCGAAGGAGCTGAAGAAGACCATGGTGGGTGACGTTCAGAGGCTGCAAGACGAGGTGCTGAACTGCAAATAACTGCAACGGTTGTAGTTTCAGGGGGATCTGTGCGCCTTCCGTGAGGTAAAAAGACACTTCGGTCAGCAGAAGGCTCTAGTTTCACAAGGCGGGGTCTTTTGGAGAGTATGAAGTGGAGGCAGAGAATGCCCGTCTGCAGCAGCAAGAACAGCGCTTAGTTTCTTCTTCCGTCTATCGCCTCCTCGTGCACACCATGCTGATGAGCGAGCTTTCCGCCGAGATCACAACCCTGAAGGGGGAGAAGACCTCGCTTCAACAGCAGATCCTAGGCGATGACATGTTCAGCTGTCAAAAGGAGAGGATGAGCCATGAAAAGCCTGCGCAGGTCTGCAGCGGCGCATACAAGAGATTGAGGAGCAGGAGCGCTGTCACCTTCATCAGTCGCCTCTTGGTTCCTGAAAAAGTTGGAAATAATCGAAGCATCCGCGACAGGTTGGCTGCGACTGAGCAATGTCCAGGGCAGAAACCTGCTCCTGGCTTGTGCTCCCTCGGCTTACGCCACAGTCTTGGCATTTGCCACTTAAGCGTCAAATGGGGTGTTTTGGCTCAAATTTGTCAGGTTTCCACCGCAGTCCAGGAGGCCAATCGATCTGCTTCGCTCACCTGAAGGTCTCCACAGGGCACCCTGGAATTTCTTGGATCGCCGTGGAAAGATGTTTCGAAGGTGACCGGGATCCTCGTGTGGCCAACAGCTCCGAGAGCTCAGCAGCGCATAAAGGAATCTTGCCAACAGCTCCGCTTATCTCCGCTCCTTGGAGCCGTCCTCCCGCGTGAGCACAGTCGCTGGATGTAAGCAGGGCTGCCTGGTTCAATGAAGCTGTTTCATGTTGACTCGAATCCTGGGACCTTTTCAATTGCATACGGGTTTTGGGAGGCAGCTTGTTGCACTCGTCCTTTTTCAAGATGAAGCTGCAAACGTGCCTGCCCTGAACATCATATTACGAATTACGAAGCGAGATGGCAGACACTTCAGGCAGTAAACAAGACTGTCACGAGGACATCAAGCCGCGACTCGCATCTCTGCTAGCCCAAGCTTCCTGCGTTACGTAGAGCCAGTGAGCAATGGCGACACTCAACATTGCCAAGATAGTGCCGACACCTCATTACATGCTGGAGCCTGCTTTTTGCTGTGAAATGTGTTTGGGTAAGGCTGGACAAGGACAGCTGGGAGAACATCCCTCCCATGGTGTTCAAGTCCTTCCAAGCTACCGCAGCCAACATGTCACAGTCTCAGCCCTTGTGCTGGAGACACTGGCAGCCGCTGCCAGCATATGATGGTTCTTCTGGAGGAACGGCATCAAGAAATGGGCAGATGTCTACGAAGGGTCCTTGAACTCAGAAGCCAACTTGTGCAGTGGTCGTTGCCACTTGAATTGCAGGCGAGCAAAGAGCCAGAGCGAGTTCATGAGCAAGAACGAGGCCAGCTTTTGGGGCTTTATCCTTCGCCAATGTTTGAAGTTCGCTGTGAGGAAAAGCTGGCTTCGCTGGAGCGCAGCCTGGGAGCTCTGTCTCTGACCTAGAATCTGCTGAAGAAACATTTTCTGTGACACTTCTTGCATCGGGATTTCAGGCAGGAACGTGTGGAAGCCATTGAGCAGGAAATGACCTCCGCCTCCGAACTCGCAAGGCTCAATGGCACGTCTCCTGTAACTGTAGCCTCTGTAGTCACGCCGATCTGCAGTGGGTACTGTAGCAGCCTTCTTGATGGCACTACGTCTGTTTGCCTTGCATCCAGCATGTAGCATGTTTCTCATCACAAGATCAGTCGATCAGAAAGTCTGAGAGATCTTGTATTCCCAAATGTATGTTCTGCGCACTCAGCGCACCATAATTCATTGTCATGATGCTCTTGTTGACGCATGAACCTTGTCGCCGACTGCCGATGTTGGTATTTTTACTGGATGCTGAACATAGCAGGTCATCGCGTTGAGCTGCTGATGCTGTTTAATAGAATGATGAAGTGCTCATACCACCTTCTGACCAAGAGCATCCAAATGTCAAGAGTCGCTGCTGCTGGCAAGCTGCACGGAAGGGAGCTTCACTGAGGCAAGTTTGGACACTTCAAGTCAGTGTTCATCCTACATCGTCGTCATACCAACAAGAGAATATAAGCATGAGTTGAACAAAATCCAGCACAGACTGCTTGGAAAAGTCTTCGTCACGGCCTACTCAATTGTGCACGGAGCCAAGGAACTAAAAGGGCCAAGGCACAAGGTCAGAACCGCCCAGCAGCCAGGATTTCAGGTCGCTGCAAGAATCAAAGTAAAGTGGCACACGATAAAATCCAAACTCGTGCACAGTTCGTTGTGTTTCTGTTTCGTCAATGCCGTGCACAGGCGTTCAGAGTTTTTAGGTGATTGGGCGCTTCTCTGACATGTTCTTCTCAATCTCATCCCTGCAGCATTCCTTTCCAGCGAGTCCTTCCGCGAAGCCCAGCTACCGTGCCACCACCGACGTGAATTACATGGGCAGGTTGAGTGCAGGTTGCTGTGTCCAGGAAGGCTCCAAGAAATAGTGTAACTATGTAGCTGTCAGTTTTCCATCCAATTCGTTGCCAATCTTCAATCCAGGAGCAAAAATGAGTGACCTATAGTGAAGTGAATGGAAGGCAGCAAGCCATGACGTGTGCTGGGGGTCTGCAGCGCCTTGAGCGATGTACTTCAGCAATGTTTCGGAACTTCAGCTGGGAGCTTGACTTGTATTTGTGGAACACTGCGTAGTGAAGCAATCTTGGTGAAGAGGTCAGACGTTCGGTGTGGAGGTGGATCTCACTGAGGAAGATGCAGGTTGGCATGTCAAGAAGCTGCAAGCACTCGCACTATCTACTTCCAACCAAGGTATGCAAAACCCAGAGGCGAGGTGCTACTGTGACTGATGCTTGAAGGGCCTCACATGATGAGTTGCCGCTGACATATGAATGGAATGCAGGATGACCTTCCGCCTGGCCGCAAACCCAGTGAAAGGTGTAGCAGCATGTCAACATGTGGATGTTACGCGCATCTGCCTGGGTGGCTGGGCCGCTGGGCTCGCAGCAGAAAGACGGGGCGGGAGCTTGTAACAAGCGCACGTGCAGACTGCGCAGGAGCTGGGAAGGGCACCCATAGTAAAACGTCGCAAATCAAGCGATCCTTGACTCGCAAAGACGTCGCTCTGCAAACACGTTCAGTGTTCAATATGAAAGCAAACCACCTTCTTACAAAGTCCTGGCTCACTTCAGAAGACACAAGGGGTTCGCCATCCTTGGGCCTCGGGCTGCCAAGCTCGGATGTGCATGATTCGTTTCATTGAAGACATGTTCGTGTTCGTCTAGTCGACGCGCCGTAGCGGACCTATAAGCAGCTGGTCATTTATTGAAGAAAGTGAGGAGGGCTCAGAGGTTGCCCAGAGATCCGAAGGCATCGTATGCTGATTGCACTATAGGCGGCAAGAACGTTGACACGCCAAAAACCGATTTTCACGGCCTTTTCAACATATTGGAAGCCTCAACTTCACGCGCAGGGTGTTCACTAAGGTTGAGTCGTGGGTCTTTTGAAAGGGCCTCCCAAGCTTTTGGAGGCGCATATTTAAAGGCCAGAAGTTGAAGTTGGCGAGTCTGGCCTTTTGGAAAACACGTGCCCTAACTTGTTAGAGAGGTGGGGGAGGTGCGGTGTGTAATCACCTTTTCTTGACGAGGGTGAGGGATGGTGAGGGTGGGCAAAGCTGAAGCCTGGTCTGCCTGTCCCAGATGCATCTGAGGCGAAGTGTAGGGGAGATTCAGAAGCAGCAGTGCAGCAATTCCAATTTGTCTGCAAGGAATCGCTGTCATGCAGGCCAGCGGAAAAGGCCGTCTACCCAGGATGCTGGTAGCACGGTAGCACTTCTTCCGGTCTCTGGCGGGATGTTAAACAAACTTTTTGCTTCAGCGAGCAACACCAGGGTGCCAGCAATCGAGGCATCATGATTCAGCCTTTTCAACGGAACGTCATAGAAACACCTGCCTCGCTTTCAGAGAGTTGCGGCCCTAAAACACTATCAAACAGGGAGGGGGTGGGGGTTTCATGGAAGGAATAAAAGGGCTGGTGTCCTGGTATCCCTTGGTCTCTAGGGGGAACGCTGTTTCGTCTCGCGAGAATCCAGGCTTGGAGAAGGAGCTCGGCACGCTGGAGATCGTCAATGGCTGAGCTCGGTGTCGCGTCTTGCTTCAGAAGTTGGGTGACCTGAAGCATTTGAGGCTTTTCAGAGATGGGTAGAGCGGCAAGCTGAAGATGGCCAAAGGTACGAAGCAGTTCATTCGGCCATTGAGGCGCAGCTTGTTGCGGGTGCGCGCAATTTTCTGCAATCCGAAGCCGTTGGTGCAGGATCTGCGACGCGTGTCGGACAGATCTAACGAGAGGATCCTCTCATGGCGTGAGCTTCTGAAGGATGGCGGGAGAAAGCGGTCCAGCACGTTCAAGCCTGCTCGCATCCTGCTCGCGCACTCGCAGGAAAGCTCCCATGCCATAGACTCGCTGGGCGGTGCCCTAGCTCAAACGCAGACAGCAGTGCGTGTTCCTCAGGGGTGTAGGCAATCAGAATGTGCGTTCTTGTACTTGATCTCGCATCGGCACGCTTAATATGCATAATATGCTAAACGCGCTGTAGCAACCACGATCGACCACGGTAGCGGAAAAGGGCATGGCTTTGAAGTGAAGGCAGGAACTGCATGCCACCCGCGTACAGCACCATGATGTGGAGTCCGCCGTGCGCCAGAAGGGCGAGGACCAAAAGTCCAGAAGCCTCATTGGCAGACGTTGTTGTGTACGGATTTCCAGGAGCTGGAGTGCCTTCATAGACTCACAGAGCAAAGCATGGACAAGCTCTGTCACCGAGTAGAGGCCCGGCCCAGATGACTTTGCAGAAAGCTTTGCAGGGCTGGCTAGTGTATGTCAGGAGCACGTGTCCGAAGTTCAGCGCCTTATTATAGAGATCAGCCGCCTCGAGCTCGGAGCGACTTGTTTTGGAAGACCTCAATCTGGACAGCTGAGGACAAACCGACGAGAGAATTGAAGACCACAGCAACCAGGCGGAAAATGGGTCTGCATGCAGGCCTTCAAGTTTTGTCTTGCTAGGTTGCAAAGATGGTCGAGGGGCATATGAACCCCCTCAATGCTTATCTGAATACTATGCATGTCAAGACTGATGCCAAGCGCTTGGTGGCTTTGTTAAGTTTGGGAGGGCTAGTAGCCAGATGTGCACTCTCAAGGTCATGAGAGTCGATATTGACAAGCTCAGGGACCAGGCAAAGCTGTTTCACTGCTTTGCAGGTGCCTAACCCGGGCGGAGCAAAACGCAAGACTTGCATCCCTACAGGCTCCGCGGTTGGTTTCCAAGATTGAGGAGATTCTCTCTAGACTGGCCGAAGTGGACAAGGACTGCGTAACATGGAGATGCTGCGTTGATCGTCGAACATCTTTTGGACGACGCGCCTTGCTACATGAGTTTTGACAAGCATGATGCGGCTGCCATTTGAAAGCCGCTTGCGAATGTTTGGCATGATGTTGTTTTGTGTGGTTGTTCGACGCTCATGTTTGGCGATGGTTTTTGGCTTGATCATGGCTTTGCGCAACGAGCCTTGCTTTGAGGTCGCTCTAAATTCTGCAAACATGCCAAGTGGAAGACCCTGTTGACCCTGAATATGAACATCAGGGAATGAGATTCTGACTCTGATCACGGCCAAGCTTGATAAGACAGCAGCCTCCCTGAGTACAGCGCAGGCACTGGGGCTGTACGGCCCATCAGAGAGCCCACATGCTATGACTGTTGTGAGAAAATAAACTCATTTGTTACTTCGTTTGCAATGTGACCATCCACTTCTTTGTGAGGAGCACAAGTTCAAAGGTTCAGAGCTGGATGCAGCTGTTGACGGATTGTCAAACCAGATGGCCCTGCTCTTACAAACATGCGGGCGTTGAACGTGGAAATTGAATTGAGAAGGAGCATAGCTAGGCGGCACACGCCACGCGTCATGACGAGCAGCATGCTGGTTTGAGCACGCTACTCAAGGCGCACACACCAGTTTTTAGATGTTTTGAGACGAGTCAAGCAGCGTCTTGGGCGCCAGGACATGTCCGACAGCCTGGATGCACGAATTGCAGACATACGGACCTGTGCCGAAAGCACTGCAGAGGCCCCATTGGCAATCTGCTCAGATGTTCACACGGCAATGTGCTCAAGCACAGCTCATGCAGTATAATAGCTGCAGCAGCCAGCCCAACCTGCTTTCGATCTCTTGTGTGGCTCCGTATTCTACATCGCTCTGTCTCAAAACTTCGGCTTGCAACAGAGCCTCCTGCCCACACCTAATTAGTATAGAGATCTCGACGGGTGTGGCTTGCATCTCACACCGAGCCACAGTCCCAATGTGACGTGAGACAAAGGTTATGTCGTTTCAACAATATACGTTACAGAACTTGACGTTGTAGCATATTGCAATCAAATGATTATCTCGAATACTTTCGAGGCGTGGCACTCCGGGGTATGTTTTTTGGGGCTCGATGGATAATGATGACAGGTTGAAATCTAATCAGAGCATCACCCAGCGCTGATGCCTCCAGTTCTCATCAGCTTCATTTATTTTCCCGTACAGCGCCATTCTCCGGTGATTGTACTGGTTCGTTTTGGTCGATCCTCCCTTTCACGTGGCGCTTGTCTACCTCCGTCCTTCCCGCCGAATCGTGTCATCGGAGTCTGAATCCTTTGCGGACCTGCTGGCCAGGAGTTCTCCACTTCCGAGCTCTTTTCAAGAGCGCCCCTGCAGCTCCCTTGCACTTGCCCCCACAAACGTTTATCAGCATTTGATTTGTGAATAGTCACATGACACATCCGCCTCCAATCGGGCCTTCAGAGCAGTGACAGACTCGAAGCCACCATGAACGCTGTCTTTGGGTATCCACTCTGGGCCTGCACTTTGTGGAATTACCATCCCTACGGCCCTAAATGGCTCTCATCAGGTCCATGCTCCGGATTGGGCGATGCAACCTAGCACAGAGGTGCTTTTCCAGGTAGTTCTGCAGCTGCCAACCCAAAATCGGCCTCGATCGCACGAAAGAAAGCCCGATCCTGATTTTGCCAGCTCAAGGAATCCTTGATCGCAGCTTAAGAAAGGAAGCCTACAAACTGCATGTCCAGAAAAAAAAGCTGTCCAATTCATGCCTATGATGCCCCTTGGTAGACTTGAGGCATAGACACATCCACCCCTGCTTGAAACACACCGTTCGGCGCAAAACGGCCGTGCTCGGAATTTCAGAATCTGCGTTCTACTCCTGTAGGTCAGCCAGCGTCAGTTCTACAATGTTGACGCACGGCTATGATGCAAGAAAGGCGTTGTTGGCTCGTCATGCTGGCACAGAACAGTCTCCGTCTCACTTGTTTGATGCTTTTGTGCAGCCTTGTTCTTTAAAATCCGATTGCATTCCAGCCGCGTGTGAAGAGACGGCGTGCGAAATCTGGCCTTCATGATGAGGTTCTTAGTGGTTTGGTTGCTCGTAGTGCTATTCGCCCGTGTTCTCGCATTGCTCGCCCACTTAGGAATTCCCTGCTTGCAGTTAAATGTCAATCATCACTTTATTCGTAGTGGTCTCGTGTGCGAAGTGGCGCAGCCCTTCGATCATCAAACAACAGTTCGGATGTTCCGTCTGCGCCCATCAGTCGGCCGATCCTCCTGCCGGTGTGGGGTGGAAGCCACAAAAATGTGGCAGAATGAATCGCGTTGAATGTTGTGCAGGTATGACAGTATGTCCCAGAACATGATGTGGGACAACCGTTTTGTGGCTGTGTGGGCAACGACCAGCTAAAACTTGCCCTGATATGAGAAGAGACCTCTCGCTTCTTTCTGGTGGTCCGAGCCCCGACCCTGCGAGGGTTTCCCTTCCTAGAAATATTGGGTTCAGTGTTCTTGCCAAGTGTCGAGCTGCTTTGCCAGTCTCTGGAGATGGTGAAGCGTGAGGATTTGAGTGGTCTTTGCCTCAGCCTAGCTCAGCCACTCTGGAATGGACAAGACAGGTAGGTTTTGCAAAAGCAGGTTTGGCAAGAGAACTTCTGACCCTTGATCAGAAGGCAGGCATCAGCTATTGAATACTGTAGTCCGCAGTGATGAAAAACATGTGTTTGGCAGGTTGCCAAATGGGTGCATGCTACCCCCTTGCCAGCAAAGATCAGTGAGGCCAGGCTGCAGAGAGGTGCCAAGTCTAGCTCTTTCCCTAGATTTTAAAAAAGCGTTTCAGCTTCGCAGGCTCGCCTCTACTCCCTGGAAGCTCGTCTTGCAGATGAGATGGATGCAAGGCCGGTGGCCTTCTCTCAAAAGTTCAGACGGAGACAATTGAACAAGAAAGCCCCCATTGCAGGCTTGCCCTCGAGAACAAGGCCACAACATTCTTTCCAATAGGTATTCAAAGGTGTTTAGATGCGCAAGTGCATTCTTTTTCTTGCTAAACCCTTTGCGGAGGTTCGGAGGCACCAGCTGACCCCGCGAAATACTACTGAAGACTCGGACCTGGTGCCACGCCATGCTTTGCTGAGCACACTTTTTTACACATTCAAGCGAACATCGTGTAGCTTCAAGACAGACTGTTTCAGAGCAATACAAGGCACTGAGCTTCAACCTTGCAAAGTTCAGGCATCCCAGCAACCATGCCTGTAATTAGTTATTACGGCTTTCAAAGTGCAGTGCCTGCACTGCAAGACTGTACCATTGCAAGACGCAACAAACTGTTCACACAGTTGGAATACGCTTTGAATTATGCCGAACGCAGATGGGAAGTGGACACTTCTGAAAAAACAAGGATTGAGGCACAAAACTGGAGACGACCTCTCGCTTGACTGCATGAACATGCCGCGGACCATGCTGTGACAAGTGCACAGCAGTGCGCAGCTGTCTTGAGGTACTGCCTCAACTATCACACGACTCAGTCAACCAAGGCAGGAATGTTAGTAAGCACTCGCTGCAGAAAATGTGGGCCGTCAAGGCTTTGCCAAAGGAGCAGCCTTTTCTGCTAAGTGACCGGCTTAAAGTTGTTGCTTCCTGTTCGATTGCTTGAACATGAGCAAACATTGACATGAGGCGTAATGGAGCTCGCTGACCGCAAAGCACGCTGCCGCCCCAGGATGTTCATCTTGTGCTGCTCATGCTTAGCTGTAGCTGGCGCCTTTCACCCAAGGCAACTATTCTTGAGCATGCTTAATCCGTTTCACGGTCAGGGTGCCATGAAAATGTGGCGCCCGACAGACATGTTGACCCAAACGAGATGAGCAACGAGCAGTTCCGATCTGTTTGCACCAGCCAATCCTGAGAACTGTGCACATTCGCATAAGTCGCAATCTGAGGATGAATGCTTGTAGAAGCTTACGCACGTGCAGCTACCTGGAAACTACGAGCTCAAACAAAAAAAACAAGCCTGTTTGGTCCATGGAGTTACTCTTGGTCTACGGGGTATATATTGAATACTCAACTGGACTCTCCTCTCCGTTTTCAACCTTCTCTCTTCTCCGCTCTCAACGGTCCATCCTTGAACAATCCATTCTCTGTAGTCCATTGTTTTCGGTCCATTCTCTGCCTTCAATCCATATTTTTCGAGTCCATTTTTTGCGGTCCATTTTCGGTCCAGTATCCGCTCCTCTCCGCCATCATACCCCAATCATGAAACGGGATCGAAATCATAAGGCAACCTAGTAATACGATGAAAGGTTGTTCAGGAATGCATGAGATGTACATCGCCTGGCACATGGTTGCATAGGATCCTCAGCGTATATCGCAGAACTGAATGGAATACCGTTCCGGCTTCCTCTGGAGGCATCAGCAACCTGAGAGTCATTGGAGAAATGACGGGCGTAGAATTCCCTGCAGCTAGTGCAGGGCATAGGCTACGTAAGACCCATAATTCGGCGGGAAGGACGGAGGTAGACAAACGCCATCCTCATCCTAGCCTCCGCTTCTTCCCATGTTCGATGAAACGTGAAGAAACGTGAAAAGGAGGATTGACCAAAACGACCGGGGAATCACGTTGCAAGGGAAGACAAACAAAGTCTAGCCAGAATGTGCGGGGGAACGGGGCCACAACATTCTTTCCTCAACAGATCGATTTCAGCACCGTCAAATGTGTTTTTTGGAGTTTATATGCGCAAGCGCGTTGTTTTTCGTGCTAAGCCCTTCCGCGAATGACCATTGAAGACTCAGATCTGGTGCCACGCCATGCTTTGCTGAGCATGAAAGCGGGCATCCTGTAGCTTCAAGACAGAATTGCTCTAGTAAGGGCTGACCTATAAAGAATAGATTATAATCAACAACTCAAGCTATGACCAAAGAGAAATTAAGTTACCAACGAAAGATCATTATCCCACTAGTTAAATGTGGACAGTCACAGGGATAACTGGAGTTTTCAGAAGTAATAGCGTGAGGCCTTTATTGACGGCTGCAGTTTTGAATATTGCTGGTTGGCGAGGGTCCACTAAAACCCTAAAAGCTAGATCTTAACCCAAACCCTGTACGGCGTTCTTGGGGTTGCTATAAGTACTCGTAATAGCGTGAAGCCTTTATTGACTGTTGCAATTCCGAACATAGCTGGTTGGCAAGGGTCCAAAGCACCCTAAACGCTAACTCTTAAGCCTAAACCCTAAACTGCATTCTTGGGGTTGCTTATTAGGGCTCAAGGTGCAAACGTAGCATTGCGAGGCCTGCTTTCATGGGCCCTGGGCTTGGCGACAACACATTTACCTCAGAATCGGGCCAAAATGTTGGGTTCGGGTACTTGGTGGGCTGATGTGGTTTGTTTTTCTTGGTGAACCAGCTGCGCCTAAAGCCCATTGAAGCTCATGACGGTCCTGCTCTTCCTGCCGTCTTCGAGGCTTTTACAAGCCAGACTTGTTTCCTAGATTTTATGGACGTCATTTCTTCGGAAAGAGAGGGCTGCAAATGCAACAGTGCAAGTACATAGCCTAAAACGCTGGTTGCAGTGGGTCCAAATGCTTATGCTGCTTCTCCACAATCACGCGAAAGCTGTTGTTTCTGAAGCTGCTCTGTTTCCACGAAACCTTGTAAATCGTGGGTTGCCATACACTTCGGACACGTTAAATGCCGAAAAAAACTGAGACCTGGCAACTGTAGCAGACGAAACGATATCTGCAATGCAGAAGTGCTGGCCCTGCCAGCGCTTTCAAGGTCTTCCTTTTAACCGCCTCAAACGGATGTGTCGTCAAATATGGGCGTCACGCGCACTATTACCACTGCCACTACCACTACCACCACTACCACTACTACTACTACTACTGCTGCTGCTGCTGCTACTACTGCTGCTGCTGCTACTACTACTACTACTACTACTACCACTACGACTACTACTACCTACTACTACTACTACTACTCCTCCTCCTCCTCCTCCTGCTGCTGCTGCTGCTGCTGCTGCTGCTAGTTGTTTATGACTGCTGCATTTGCTGCTACTATTGCTACTGCACTGCAAATGCTACTGCGACCCTGTGTCTCTCCATCATTTCTATAAACAGTGTGTCATGTGTGTCATTGTTGTAATTGCAAGTGCCCGTATTTTCCTTTTGATTGTGAAGATGGCCCTCTTTACTCTTTCTAGTAGTAGTAGTAGTAGTAGTAGTGGATAGTAGTAGCACTGTTTTTACTGCAACATTTTCATCACTGCTTCTATTCCAAGTCCTGGTGCCTCAGGACCTCGTCTGCATGTGAACAGCAAAAAGGATGCCAGGACCGAATTGTAGTAGGAGTCGTAGTAGCAGTCAAGGCCTAGGCCGAGGACGATGCCAGAACTGATGTTTCAGCACATTCGCGGTACAACAGCACACCTACGCCGTATCGATGCTTACCAGCTCTTCAAAGCCCCGACACTATGATTGGGACAGCATGGTGGAACCTGCCCCACTTTGCAACTTTGCAGTCAACTTCATGCCCAACCCGGGCAGCATTTATCTTTTAATCGGTCGCTGCATTGCAAGATAGTAATGCCGACCGGCATCGCTGTACTTTACCGATGGCCATCATTGTCCTTCAATGTACCGCTGTATACTTAGATACTATGGACTACTTTGGCAAGCGAGTAACTTTTGCCATGAGTTGTTTCACGCTTTCGTCAGCCATCACTTTTGAGGTACTTGGGCCTCGTTTTGTCGCACTACTTGTTGCATGCATCGGCACAACGACCTTGCAAAGTTCCGCGGCTTTCTTCGTGACGTTTTGAGTGTATCGTATTGTGTAAGTGTGACATCTAAAGTTTATCTAAAGTTTCATGAAAATTAGGCGTGCGAAGATATGAGCACGTCTCCTCCATGTCGATTGGTGGCTCATGACGTGATAATACAGCGCCATAGCCGCCCTGCGTCCGTGCCGGTCTGGGTTTCTCTTCGGTTGTTGGTTACGGAGGCTGGCCAGGGCTTGTACCTTCATGTCTGTATATGGGGGTTCACTCGGCCGAGGCAAGGGCTTTTCCCACGCGGTTTTTCCTTCAGCTGTACAGCCTGTAAATTCGGCCCACTACCTTTGCTTAGATGCAGATTTCCTAGATACCTTTCCCATAGACGCGAAACTGTGGGAGCGAGCCTTTCAGGGTACTTGAAGGATTGCTAGTGGGCTGGAGTTCTCAGCTACCTTAGGTAGTTGGTGCCCATTTTCAGCTACCAGCATTTTCGCTTCTTGTTCAATGTGTCGACGCCGCGCCCAACCCAAAGCAACTATTCTTGACAGTGTTTGCTTCGTTTCGCTTTCAGGGTGCCATGAAACTCTGGCGCCCAACAAACATATTGACCCAAATGAAGCGAGAAGGCCCGATCTGTTTGCACCAGCCAGCCGTGACTCTTGTACACATTCGCGCCAGTCGCAATCTGAGGATCAATGCCTGCAGAACTTACGTTGTGATGTGTACTTGCCATGCTCAAGCTATTGCCCGATGCGGAACTTGCAGGAACACATTGCAAACCTCCTTCGTGAAGCAATCGAGCATCACTTCAGCCATGCTCCAAGTCAACCCTACCACATGAAGTGTTTTAATGGAGGTAATTGTAGTGATCTTTTGCAGGGCACTTTCTGCTAGAAAGCCCTGGCCTTCAACAAGCATGCGGTGTGGACAGGCTTGCTTTGACTTTCAGCAGCGGAATCACCATAGCATTTGTTGCTCCACATGGGCTCCAGATGGACTGGAGGGTGTCATGCACCGACGAAAGGTCGGCAGCTGCGTTTTGGGTTGCGAACAGCAATTTGCAGGGCTTGGAATTTTGACTCAGAAACTTCTCGATCAAGATGATTGTCTTTGAGTGGCTCTGACCGGCTTCAGCACGAAGACTTCTGGTCAGAGAGAGTCTCAATCAACACTGTAGTTCGTAGTACCGTCGCTTGGTAAGGTACACTTGGTTAGCATCGAATATGCATGATCATCACCATTCGCAGCTATGAAGACTTCTTGGTTTGCGAGGCTCAGTAAGATTTTGCCTACTGCTATGCTTTCCGCCAATGTGGAAAATCATGGAAAATCATAATTGGACATCTTTAGAAGCATGTTTGCAGGAAGGTAAGGCAAAGCGGCTCAAGTGGACGTCTCAGAGACAATGACCGCATTTCTTTGCGTTCTATGCATCGCTTCAGAAAGTGCAGTAGGTCATGCCGTTGTCACAAGGCGCAGCCCCCTCGTTTGTGAAGACCTGTGGGGCTGGCAATGCAACGATGTGGCTGCATCGGCCGGGCCCTCTACCAGACCTAGCACAGTCAAGTGCCCTGTGTGACAACGTAAAGTTGTGAGGTGGACTGGCAGAAGCTTCAGTCGGCATTTGATGCCCTCACCTCCCCACCACTATGGGTGCCTCTCTCAGCACCTTGTACCGCCTTCCTAACGAGCTGGCAAGGGAAGACGCTGCACGTGTCTGAGCTTGGATGGCTGTTAGCTACCAGAGGCCAACAAGCTCTCGCTGCAGAAGGTTGTGAAGGCCCTGCCGCTAGAGTGCGTCAACGAGCATGCCTCCAAGCAACCGCTGTGGGCGGTGGTGAGCGGCAGGCACTGCGCGGGCACTTAGATATTGTCTATAGTGTATAGCTGCGCCTGGCGGTCTTCGAACGTTGTTTGGCTCGCCTTTGATCAGGCCAGATGCAACGAAGTGTCCCTTTCAATCTCCGCCATCCTTCTTGGCAGCTCTCTCACAAAAAGCAAGCAAAGGCTCCACGGGGATACCTTAAGGCTTGCTTTTTGGAAGTCAAAGGTGTCATCCTCCATAGCACTACAAACGTCGCCTACCAAAGGCAGGTCCCGCTGGTGACGATAATTACCTGTCATGCGAGAGGTGCTTGAATGCAAGGCCGCGGTTGGTACGCTACAGCACCTCTTGATGCTGGCGCCATGATCCTCATGGAGCGTCCGCTGGCACCTGGCCTTCAGCTTTGTGGAGCTTGGAAGCTCGCTGAGTTACACTCCCGAAAGCAAGGTGGCCGTGCTGGACGGAGAGTGGCGCGCGCTGCGCTTGGTTCCAGTCGCGGCATTGCAACCATGTACCAATCAGCCCGACTCATCACGCGCAAGAGATGCTCAGGATGCTTGCTGGGCGGACTGTGGAAGTGCTGACTCTACAGCATTAGGTAAGGCTTCCATGTGTGCTCGGTGGCTAGAGCAGTTGTAGCCACTTGCTTCCAAGCCTTGTCCATGCCGTGTGTAGGCATTGAGCTTGCGAAAAGCTACTCTGAGAGCTTGGCACGACTCTTGTCGCCCTTTCACCCGAAGGCCGAATACTGCAGCATTGCGTGACACGGAGTGCGCTGCACCATGATCAGGAGGGCGTGCTGTCACACTACCCAGAGTCGGACGAGGAGGCTGTTCAAATGGACTCCGCCTGCGTGACACTGTGGATATATTCAGCCACAGGATGATCCGGAGCTTAGAGACACCATGAGAGCCGCACTGGATGACGCCTGGAAGCAAGTGGACATCTCCGAGATGGCCAAAAAGCGTCTTCAGGACGTTGTTCGTCAGCTGCCCACCTGCGCACTGCGCACCATCTTAAAGGAAGGTGCCCTGGTAGATCCCCTTGCTTGGTAAGGCTTGAACTCGCTTGGCTTTTACACTCACTCGGAGCAACTGTGTGCAGCACCCAGCGAAGCAACTCATGCAACATGTCGCTCAATGAGATGCAAGTGGACAGAAAGCCAGAGGTCACCACGCCAATTTTTCGGCTCTCACGGGGAACGGCATTTTTGCACTCGCCAGCGGCTTTAACCACTCCTGCCAGCTCTGGACTCAGTGCAGCAGGGGACACGGGGCTTCTGTGTAGCGCAAGCGGGCGTCCTACATACTGTGCCCGAGAGATGTCCTCAGCTAAGCCGTGAGCAAACCAAACCTTCAAGCCGCTTCATGGAATCACCGCCACCCAGCAAAGCTTTCAGAGGAATAAGGAAGCTGACAGGAGGTTTGGACATGTTGGGACAGTGCAAGTGTGCATCTGGAACGAATTCTCTCACCGCCTGAGAAGGCTTATACCAGGCAGGTCTAGAAGCCAGCGGATTCTGGCTGTGCAAGTTGTTGGACGATGCCTTATCTAGAGACTCGCGTGAGCTATTGAGCTTTCAGGGCTAGGACTACGTTGTCACAGGGTTGGAGTTGGTTGAGCATAGTTCGTAGCCACAAGTAGTGTTGTAGGTAGCACGGTGTTTACGCACTCTCTGTCTCAGGATCGAGGCAACGGGTAAAGCTCGTGTTCAGGAGGTTAGATCCGCCGGCCGGTTGTCATTTCCGTGGCTTGACCTGCTCCAGACAGCAGGTCTTCCGGTTACCCTAGTCACTCGTCGTGTTTTATGCCCAGCCGCCAGGACATTTGAGGAGGAAAAGGTTTAGGAGGGGAGGAGGAGCAGGAAAGCCACTTGTGATTCGGGAACATCAGGGAGGAAAACTCGAAGGGACAGCAAAGGGAGCAAGTTCTAGCAAACTCAGGGATGGCAAGAAATTTGGTTCTTGGTCACCTGCCGAGCTGGGCTCTGGTTCACGAAGGCCGTCGGTGCAACGCTACTCGTTGGGAGACCTGACCGCCTTTGTCACGAACCAGCCAGTGGAAGCCGGGTCAGAGCGGGGCCGCACAAGCAGTCCGCACCAGCACGTTCCGTGTTTGTCTGGATCGAGGCTGTGCATCAGCTACATCGAGCCCCAGGCCCCAGCTCTGTGCATACCGCAACGCACGTGCGACACTCTTGATGACACTGCTATCAAGCTGAGGTCGGAGTTACTTTCCGCGCCGAAATCCTTGCGGAGCCAGTGTTAGCCTGAGCCAACTCCTGAGCCCTTCCCAAGTTTCCATCCTGGATTCCTACACCACCCCTCCAACGGACGAAGCCACGTGCGTCTTTGGGACATCTCATTCAGCGAATCCCCTCAAACCCTCCCTAGCTTCTCTGCAAGTCTCTCCTGGTAGCATTTTGCAGTACTTGGCTTTGAGGCACACAGCTTGTGGGAACTCTGCTGGAGTACTCTTAGTTACTTACCCGCGCAGCTTGGCTTGGACTCCTGCGTAGAGAAAGCAAAGCCTGCAAGCAGCCAACCATATCCAATCATATCCACTCATACTGTACCGATCTCAAACTCACGCACACTCGGTGCAGCATAAGTTGCGGCTGCATAGCTTTTGGTGTTAAGCCAAGAACGAAGAACGAGTCAGGGAAAAAGAGGCACGAGTCAGGAAAAAGAAAAGCGCGAGTCAGTAAAAAGAAAGGCACAAGTCAGGAGCAAGAAAAGGCACGAATCAGGAAAAAGAGCTCGAGTCAGGAAAAACACAAGGCATGGGTAAGGAGAAAGGCCGCGAGTCAGGAAAAACAAAAGGCTGCAGTCAGGAAAACATGCGCAAGTCACAAGAAGACCACGAGCCAGGACAAATAAACGGCATGAGTCAGCAAAAACTACGAACCAGGAGAAAGGGAGGCACAAACATATGTTAGAACATGTTAGAACCACATAGAACAAGCCCCTTTTGACCGGGTGACAGGTAGAAGGACATGACAGGGAGAACCAAGGTACACCCATGTTTTGAAGCCACCCTCCCTTCGACCTTGCGATCAGTAGAGGGACATGACAGTACAGACATACTAATATTGTGTTAAAACCAGCCCCTGTTCACCCTGCGATGAGTAGAAGGACATGACAGAGGGAAAGCCAAGGTGCAGACGACATATGTTAAAACCACCCACTACTGACCTTGCGATAAGGAGAAAATCGTGACACAGGTAAAGCCAGGTACAGGCATATGTTAAAAGCGATAAGTAAAAAGATATGAAAACCGGGTAAATACATGATATGTGAAAACCTCCCTCTTTTGACCTTGCGATAACTCGTAAGACATTATAAGGGGAAAGCCAGGTACAGACATACGTTAAACCCAGCCCTTTTTCAGCTTGTGATGCGTAGGAAGACATGACAGTTAAAAGGAAGAGGACCAGGTAAGCAAATATGTTCAAGCCACCCCCCTTCCTCTTGCGAAAGATGAAAAGGAAAATGCAGCTGAGCGAGGGAAGCAACCTATCTTAACCCGCCCCCCCCTCCCCTCCCCAAAAAAAAAACTTTGCGATAGGTAGACAGACATGAAGGAAAGCCAGGTACAGACATCTTATCACCTTGCGATAGGTAGAAAGAGATGACAAAGGGAAAGCCAGGTACAGCATAAGTTAGAACCATTTCTTTGCGAGAAGTAGAAGGGCATGACGGAGGGAAAGCCAGGTAGAGACATACGTTACAAGCACCCCGCTTTTTCCCGACTCACGCCTTCCCTTTTTCCCGACTCACGCCTCTTTTTCCTGACTCGCGCCTTCTCTTTTTCCCGACTTGCCTCAACCTTAAGCCAACCAGAATCCGAGCACTAGACTAAATTGGGGGGACGCCCCCCGCCAAAATAAGGAATGAGGGGCGCCAGATTGAAAGAATGATTTGTGTTCGTGCCACTCTAATGGAAAGTGGTCTTCAGACCCTGAATCTACAAAATGAAGACTAGACAGCAGCTGGCAGTGCTTTTGCTCTAGATATAAGTAAAAACTAGCTGCTCAATTCTACTATCAGGATTGGTTCCCGAACAAAATTCTTCAAATATGGTCCCTTTTCCTCAGACTAAAAGCCACCTAATTGTAGCTAGTGTTTGGACGATCCCCAAACAGTTGGTTAAATATGGTTCATTTAATTAATCTAGTGCTCGAATGATGGGGTCATGAGCTCCTTGACATGTTTGTCCACGGACCGTTCAAACCCGCGGATTGCTGCAGACATGCACAGCAGCCTCATTGCGCTGCAGCATGGTTGCTTTCATGAGGTCGCTGAACCGTGACTTTGTCTGTGCGTGCAGCCGATGTGAGACGCAGGGAGACGCGCCAGAATCTTAGCCTCCGAGCTGGGTATAGGCTCCATGAGGCTTTATGGCTCTCTGCTCTCTCCGCAGGTCGACAGACATGGGAGCTGCAAGAAGGAGCTAAACCCAAAACTCGGAAGATGAAGTTTGCGTGTGTGGCACTTCCAGGAATTATATGCGGGTCGATGCTCGCGTTCAAGCAAAGCTGGCCCTTCTGCCGCCCCAGGCTACTGGTAGCGGTGAATCCGCAAAAGCAGCTTTGCCTTTCCTGAAGGAGCGAGTCCAAGCAGTGGCAGCCGCGCTTGAAGGCCGCTTGGATGAGGAGGAGTCCGAGGAGGAGACGGATGTCATGACAAGATATACCAGGGACCAAGCTGTCGCAAGCTGCGTATCGTCCAAGCTGCCAGGAAGACCCTGTGGAAGACGACGGAGTAGAGATTGGTGGTGGCCTCACTAACGCGCCCGCCTCAGACGCAGATTTTCTTGCCTGTCCTTGCACTTCCGCATTGTAGCGGCTTTCGAGGAGAGAGGACCGCAGAAAGAAGCCACGGACAAAGTTCTGCTGCTTGGGAAGGACGCCCAAGAACTTCGCGTCGTCCAGGCATTTACGCAGATAGACGACAGCGCAAACTGATTTGGGGTAAGATTTGCCCAATGTTTGGCGTGAAAGGCCATGGCGTTGATGCAGCTGGGAAACTGGCAAGAAGCATTGCAGGCAGCTGGTTGTTGCGCATGTTCATTGTCAAATTTGCCTTTGTTATACTGTGCAGGACATGCCCTTAGCAGAATGCAGTTCTCAAAAGCCGTGCCTTCGCCAGCAGCAGCAGCAGCAGCAGCAGCAGCAGTGGTGGTTGGAGGTGGTAGCCGTAGTGGTAGCGGTAGCAGTAGTAGTCGTAGCAGTAGCAGAAGCAGTAGCGCTTGTGCAACACCATTCACTGTACTGTACTTGAAGCCGGAAGGTGTGGCGCCAAAATGCCGCCTTCAGTTGCCACCACTGCCCACCATTTGACGAAGCATTGGCAGTCTATGCCACCCAGGCTTCAGCTCTAGCCTGCCTCTGCAGCAATTCTGACAAATTGTAGTGAAGGCCGCGTTGTGCAAAGCATGCACCAATGGTCGCTTGGACGGAGAAGCTGCACAAGTTGATTATGCCTCTCCCCTACTCATGTAGAAAAGTGTAAGTACTATGTGGTGTGTGGTATGTCTACTAGACCAAAGCAGGTGCGCCTTGCAGTCGAAGCACATCGGAAAGCCTGGGCCCGAATGGTGTGAACATGTCAAGCCTCGTAAGGCTATTGTCTGAAGATGGCAGCGCAGGCGTTTGGCACCGACATGTTCAGCTGGAGATATTCAAAGGAGGTAGCCGCAAAGGTCTTTTCAACCGCGCGATCTTTAGCGGCCTTTGCATGGCACGATGAGACTTGGCCAGGTGGAGGAATCTCCGGCGAGTCCTGAGACGAAGGATGCATTTCGATGCCTTCTGCTGAGAATGTAATTCATGAGTGCCTGCAAGCTCAACGCTGGCATGCGTGCAAGTACTGAGGTGCTGTACGAAGACAGCCACTCATCAGCCGCTCTTTTGCTGAGGCGCCGTCAGGAGACAACAAGTTGTGATGGGATAGAGGGATTGTCCTGCGCAGTCGTGCATCAGCTTTCGGAAAGTTGAACTCGGTGAAGTTCCCGCATCATCGACGAAAACAACGTTCAACAGGGGAGAGGTATACCAGCAAGAGCTATCAGAGTTAAGATAGTATATCAACGATTACAGTCATCCTACTGCATCATACTGCATTTTGCTCATGTGTACCATTTGGAATAACCGGCAGAGATGGAGTCGCAAGATCAATTTGCGAATTGGACTGTTTACAGTATCTAGGCAAAGAGGGAAATGTGCTTCAAGGTACAGGAAGGAAAGCAGCAAGGAAGTCATGGCCGGGCATACTTGACACGGATCGCTAGAGGAAAAGTGCGTATTAGCACGGCTCTCACTGACTGTTTTGTGATGTTAGACCAGGCTTTGGTGGGATGGACCTTCGTCTCGTCGGAAGTTGCTAGGTCAACCCCCCTACAAAGCGACGACTCATGAGAAAAACATGGGGGTATCATCCCGCCACCCCTGTTGGTGGGTTTCCAGTCGTCACTCCTACGATTCTTCACTAGTCATGTCATCAGCTTGTTCGGGCAGAGTCTGCAAATCTTGGCATTCGATACGATTGCACCTTGATGCCCCGCCACTTTTTAACGCTCCACCACTCACTATCTGTGATTGAGGTCTCATGTTCAATGCCTTGCACATGAGGCTGTCCGAGACTGGCGCTTCAACGAAGCTGAAGCTCCCTGGCCTACGTACTGCTTGTGCACTTCGCATACCAAGCTGTCATGTCAAAAGACCTACCTACCTACCTACCTACCTACCTACCTACCTCTACACACACACACACACACACACCCGCGCGCGCGCGCGGCAGGGATTCAATGTAAAGATCACTGAGGCTAGCAGTTCTTTGGGGTATTTCCCTGTAGCATCCAATATCATCCTTGGAAAGCCAAGGTTCCACCTGCATTCCAGGACTTTGCACACTGACCAATGGACGCCTCGTCGATCATCCACCTGAACAAGAAAAGCAAACCAACTCACTTTCATCAGCCCGTCAAGTTGCTGGATCTTTGCGGCTGTTTGCAATTGCGCAGCGCACGCGCTTGACAAATTTTAGCTCTGGGGCCTCATAGCTCTCGCACGTTTGTATGCTTTCATCTTTGACCCTTGTCAATCTGTGCCCCCTCCTTAACATGTTGGGGGCCCTTACCTAAACCCCTAGACTTCTCACTATTCTGAGGGCTCTGCGTAGTGACGAAACGCATTCAAGAGGGCCGTGAGTCATTCCGCTCTATGGTGCAGACAAAACACACTGCACTGGCCTCTTCAATTAAGGAGTCCAAAATGAGACAACAGTAGCATTGACAAAGACACCCTCTAGTGCACCACATGACATTGCAATTTAGGAAGCTGATGTCTTGAGTTCTTCACATGGCCTGATTTGACCTGAGTTGCATACAGTAGTTCTCGAGATGCACATGAATAATTAGGACATACATCCTGATACCTCGATCACATGCTTTCGCCGACAGATAGCTGCAGCAGATTGCATGGTTCAAAGAAGCCGTCAAAGAATTCCGAGCTGCACATCCAATTGCTGTAGGATCCCACAGTTCGCTAAACCGTGACAGCAAGGGTTATTCTAGGTTATGGTAGGTATACAGTATACAGCACAGGTCAGGATGTGTCAGGTCTTTCAGAAGGGAAGAAGCACTTGCAGTCCGCACGCCAAAGGCTGACTGGAAAGCTGCCTGGCTAGACACAAAGAAGTCAATCCAGCAACAAGACCAAAGAGCCTTTTCTAAACCGTTGAGCAGCGCTGGGCAGCTTGCTTCCAGGGGGGGACACTAGCAAAGCTGCAGCAGACTTGGAGCGTGACCTCTTTGGCAGAGCATAGCCAGTAAAAGTAAAACCTATCTGAAAGACGTTGGCGCTCTTAAGTGGTGGTTCTGAGCTTTCCAAGCTAGGCATGTTGCCAAGCTCGACCCTCACCAATGTCCAGACTTCGCCTTGTCCAACTTACCAGAGGATCGCGAGCTCGGCTTTACGGGCTGCTCGACTGCCGCAAATCTACAGATTCTTCTGAATCGGTGCAGAGGGCTGTGTTGTGTGTGTGGATTTCCCTGGCCCAAATGGATCCAAAGCGCGCGTTGACTAAATCTTGAGAGACCTTTAGCGCGCAAGTACAGCGTGCGCTCCAACGCGCATTAGCTGCGCTTGCGGAGAAGTTGAAGGCTTTCTATCATGCACTCTACGCAAGATTAAGATCCCAAAGTCCTTAAAGTGCTTAGGGCTACCGCCGCATCTGCAACTGCTGCAACTTTAACTGCAAGCATCAATTCTCAGGGTGGACCTTCACCCAAACCAAGGTTTCAAAGCCTTCCAGCTCAACCTGCGCAGTCAGACGATTACCTGCAGCGGTGAGCAATCAGCAAGGAGCCTTCAGGTTCAGCCCTGTTGGCCGGGTATCCTACTCAACAGGTTCGAGCTCCAGCTGCCCCGCTCCGTTGGTCGAGGTGCGGCAGCGAACGCCAACAATTCTTTGCATCGGTGACAGCTTGACCTCCGGAATTCGAAACTCAAGGTGCTCCTACCCAGAAGAGCTACAAGCAATGTTAGACCTTGAGGGCATAGACATGAAAGTCTGGAACGGAGGAAACTGGGGTGATCGAAGCGATCAAGTTCTGCAACGCTTACCATCAACACTGCAGTCTGTTTTATCGAAGGGTGGCCGTCCGGTAGTGGTTTTGATTCTGGCCGGCACGAACGATTTGCTGCAACTCCCTCCAACTACCATGCAGCTAGCTAGATCGATTTCTGGCATTGTAGCAAGGGTGCAGGAGATCTGTGAGACAGCATCTCGGGCAGCTTTTCACCCGCATGTTGGTATTCTCTCCTTGCCGCCTCTTCTTTGCCGAGATGAAGACAGATTGAAATTGAACCAGTGCTTGCGCCTGCTGCCGGAGAGTGCAAGACCTATGCCGGGTGCAGGGCAACGATTCTTTGTCGATCTAGAGTCGGTAGATGCATACCTCTCTACAGATGGAGTTCACTACAGTCGGGAAGGCTACAGCGAGTTTGCCAAGCGAGTGCTCCAGTCAATTCTACCGATGCTGAAGGCTGATTCTGCTGCCAAGGCACGCCTAGCAACCTAGATCAACCTAGTACCGCAGCCAACGGCTCAGGGACGCAAATGAGGTCGGCCGAGTGCTCGCTAAATGCTTGGCTTAGCTGTTGTGTTACAGTGTTACAGGTAGCTGCTTCCAACAAGCTTGATCATGCCCATGGGTTTTGGCTCAGTGTGCGCCTTGCAAAATCTGCGTGGCATGAATCTGAAGTGTGACGGTCTGCAGAGACATGCATGGTTTTGCAGCCATGAGTTGTCAAGATGATCGCAACCAGTTGGTGTGCACCAAGCATCACAGAAAAAGTATGCTGATTTGTGGCCAGACTGCGCCGTAGAAGAGAGGTTTGAGGGCATCCTCTGAAGATCATGTCCAACTGGCTTGGAGCGGCTCATGAACAGGCCTTGCATTTACCAAGTCTTGTGTGCTGAAAGGTCGCCCTTGCGTCCCAAGGTAGCAAGCGCTTTGGCTGGCGCGCCCAGTTTACAGGATGTGGCTGCAAATTTGGGCATCAGCAACTTCTCACAGCCTCATCCTTATAGACCTTGAGCACTGAATTCTTTTGCGGTGTATCCTGTCCTACTGCGTCTGAGGTGGGCCACTGCAAAGGCTTTTGACTTGCATTCAACAGCGCGGGAGCAGGCCAGTGCTGCGCATGTTACAGTCTTTTCATGAGATCAGGGCATGTTGCCTCGGATCACATTTGTATAGGACTGCTCCAAGCCAGCCTTGACACTGTGATCCAATTGTGTTTCCAGTGTAGACATCCGGGTTGTATATCGTGTGGCTTTCAAATGCATCGGTGTTCGGCGCTCTATGTGTTGTCTCGTGACTTGGCTGTCAAGAGCTTGCGGCTCGCTTTTGAATCGCTTTAGAGAGTAACTTTTAAAATGCTTCTGGCTTTGCTTTCTACTACTAGCAGTTGCCTCGAAAAGCCTGGAGTCCATGAGCCGGGGATAGCCGGGGTAATCTCTCTGCGTTGTATTCATGCATGGGACCGCAACTTTTCAAGCCTGCGCCGAGCATGCACGAGCTTGAAGCAGAGAGGCCTAGTATCATAATGCATTAGAATTTGGACCCATTTGGTGGCAGTGCGTTTAGCTTGTCTGCTGTCGGTCTTGTCAGCAATTAAATGGGGCCAACTCTGTTTCAAGCAAGCAAATGCAGCAACCTTGCACGAGATTGCACGAGCAAGCAAGGGATATAGTGCAGAATCTGTCAGAAGCGCTTTTCAGACTCTTCAGACGTCAGCCAGGGTCTGCGAAAGTGCCTGAGGGACTGGCAGCAGAAGTTTCAAGAAGTTCCAACGAAAGAAGACCGGCAGGCCATCGAACTGGTCAAGGCCAAGATGAAGCTCGAGTTTGGCCCAGAGATCTTGGATATGCTGAATGCAATTTCCGAATGCACCCGAAAGATCTCAGAGGACAGTGGTGCGTGCATCAGTGACGCAGATTTGTGCAATTTGGGCTCAGCCGACTCTTCTTCAAGCAGCGGCTTGCAGAGTTGGCACACGGCGTATCAATGCTGCATGTCAATTTCTGCTTGGTGGACAGGAGCTGAAGCTTCAAAACGCCAAGTTTGGCATGACTTTGGCTCTTCCGTTAGTGCGCACCTCAACAAACCAGCGTGTTGCATACAACACTTGATGCACTCGCCTGAATTCCCTGCTAGCGAGTCTCCTAATCTGAACGAGGTGGCCATTCAACACAACGCCCTGGATCCGCCTGCATGCGAAGGCCTACAGCTAGAGGATCATTAGCCACAGCTATCAAGACATTGCCACAAGAAACAGGGCCGCTTCTGGACCTCACCACAGTGACGGATGCCTGCCATTGGGCAAAAGCCTCAGCTCAGCTTTGAATGCCTGACGCTATCTGACGCTCACAGTACTCTCACGCACGTCTTCATCAAGTCTTCCTCACAATTTCCAATCGTGTCATGCTGTGCGGGCGCAGTTTCGCATAAGGACAGCAAGCTTCATGCTGCAGCTCGCAGAATGTCAATTGTAGCACGGGCATGGTGAAACGCATCCTTAAGCAAGGGCAATGAAGCCATCCCTGTTCCGCCAGTGCGATGCATCTCTCCTCTGTGCGCCCATCGAGCAAGCACTCACCGAATTTGGTTTGCTTGACGGCGTGGCGGTAATATTGTGGAATACTATAGAGCGTCATCATTTAACTACCGCTTACCACGTCCAAATCGGAACAACAACACCAGTTTTGTGGGCAGAGTTGACAAAACTTATTTTGACGGCACATGGCAGAGTTGGGTCGTGGGATCCATCATGAGCGCAGCGAACACCATAGAAATGCTACAAGTCGAGTCGCTGTCTTTGAGCCTGCCTTGTCTGGCCTTTGAATGAGGTTGACTTTGCGCAAGGCGCCTATGGCACCTCGGACATTCGAGGCTACGACAAGGCGCGGCTGGGAAAAAGAAAAAGAAGTTGCACGTTTGCACACGGGCTACGTCCATACGCGTATTGGTATTTTATAAGGACTGAATAACAAAATGGAATGAGGAGCATCATTTCTTCCTCTTCGACATGAGGCGGCACGCAGGGAAATCCGATGAATCACCAGTGTGGCGCTAGGAAACCGCTAGCCGCTAGCGCAGCGCTAGAGATTTTTTAGAGCATCTCGATTGTACATGTCTTGAAGGAATTGATGAGCTTCCGGAAGTGTTGCTGTGCCGTGTATGACTAGAAAGAAATCGCAAAACAAGCTCCGCGGTAGAAGCTTTCAACAAACTTCACAATTCCAACAGGAATCTGCTGCGTAACAGCAGCCCGATTTTTATCTTCACATATGAGCAGTTAAAAAAACAGGCGGTTGAGTAAAGTTAATTAAATACGGAAAATATATCGGAAACCGGCCCACAACAATTTCCGAAAAGTGGTTCCCACTGTGCACGCGGAAATTCGCGGAAGCTTTCGCGGAAGCGCTTTGCCTGCGGAAGCTCTCTTCTGCATCCTCCGAATCCTGAGCAAAGGAAGATTAGGAATTTGAGGAGAAACTCAGCCGTGATGACAATAAGGAAGCCACCACAGAGATACCTTCCCGGGATCGTGTCCGTGGAAGTAATGACGTGACGGGGATTTCGCGGAAGCTTTGCGCAAGCTCCGCGGAAGCTACGGGATGGGTTTAGGAGTACTTGGCCACTCCTTCTTTAC